CGGACTTGTTTCTGGTGAGGGATGGACTCCGCCAGGGCTGCCCTTTGTCACCGATTCTGTTCTTTTATGGACAGAATTTCTAGGCGCAGCCAGGGCGTTGAGGGTGTCCGGTTTGGTGACCTCAGGATTAGGTCTCTGCTTTTTGCAGATGATGTGGTTCTGTTGGATTCATCAGACCCTGACCTCTGGTTCTCACTGGAGCAGTTCGCAGTCGACTGTGAAGCGGCTGGGATGAAAATCAGCACCTCCAAACCTGAGACCATGGTCCTCAGCCGGAAAAGGGTGGAGTGCTCTCTCCGGGTCGGGGAGGGGGTCCTTCCCCAAGTGGAGGAGTTTAAGTATCCCGGGGTCTTGTTCACGAGTGAGGGAAGGATTGGCACCCCATCCTGGGTTGTCCCCTGCCTTGTACCTGTAGCGTCCGGGATATAGGCTCCAGACCTACATGACCCTGAATAGGACAAGAGGTTTCATAAAATGGATGAATAATGTTAAGCAAACGTATGCTACTATCTAATTATAATGATATGTTAAAACTATAAACCTTTAAAAAGAAGTTTGTACGTGAATGCATTTACAATGCTAGATAATTGTGATTTTGTGTATTATAATAATCATTGTCATTTTGTTTAATTTTTGAGGAAATTTATAATTAATTAAAAATTATACACTCTCTCTGAAGGTTAACACTATCACAGGTCAGCAGCAGTGTGGTGGGTAAAGGCTTGTGGATAGGGCTGGGTCTGTGGTTGGGTCTGTGGTTGGGTCTATTGCTGGTTCTATGGTTGGGTCTGTGGTTGGGTCTGTGGCTGGTTCTGTATGTATGTCTCCCACACACCCACAGCTTAGGGGGATGCCGGGGTCTCACTGACACCATGATCATGTATAATATGACATGGGGCACGCAAGGAGCTGTGTCCCCCTCTGTTCAGTAAATAGGCAAAAACCCACCAGTACACAGGCAGTCATTACCTTCCCTTGTCTCAGTCTTGAGAATGTGGTCGAACTACGTTATCTTTCTTTTAAAAAAAAATAGCAGATAATTTTCCTCCATGCTCGTTTGTTGGCTGACCATCTATGAAATTTGTATTAATATGGATTTCCTCGTTTCCATTTAACTCCATCTTGTAGCAGAGGCCACTGTTTGAGCATTATTGGTTCAATTTATTACAATGTGACCATAAATATACAGTATTCATAAACTGAATTTTTTTGCATTGCATAAAATCTCCAGTGGTATGAGCACATAGCAAATAATGAATTAAGACAAATGAGACCATACAGGATGAATACAATAGATTAATGTGATCCCAGGTCTGATTGCGCCAAAGTAATTTTTCATAGGCCCACGGACCATTATGATTAATCTGAAGGTTTTATTGTTTTGTGGCTGTGCTAATTTGTACGATCGCACATTTTCCTAAGCGGATTCCCTGTGTCGTACTTTCGCATGAAAGTTATGCATGTAGAATTTAAAGGAAAGCAGCAAGGACGGAGCACACATGCAGACTGAACCAGAACTGAGAAAAAAAACGCAGAGTCTTTCCTGTCTACCCACCCACCTATATACCTCCTCTCCAGGTGAGGGCAGTGTGCCAAGCGGGTTAGGGCAGACTAAGGCCGGATTATATCCCTCTCTGGGTGGTCTCCAGGTATTCTCTAGCCAGCTGGGAGACACGATCCCTCTAGGTCTGCCCCAGGACCCCCACCTCATGCAACATCAGGGTTCCCTCTCTTTTCCAGACATCATTTTCCAGGACATTTTTATGACTCACACTCATTTTTACATTACACTTGACTGCAGGATTCCATTGAAGTTACCTTTAAATGAGAGACTTTGAAGTCAAACACAGGCCACTGTCAAAGAATAACCTAAACTCAATGTTTGTTTTACACAAAAATTCATTGAAATTTTTTTGCCTCCCCTTATATTCAGACAAGTATGGTAATTCCGACCAGTTACACATGAAAATGTGATCAAATGTGGGATTTGGATTTGACATCAGCCTACATTTTTAAAACCCTTTTTTCCAGAATGTGGACATTTTTTTCATTTCCCATGGTTCTTACATGACTGGAAAAAACATTTAAAAAATACAGGTTCTTCGGGTTTTCCAGGACGTGTAAGAACCCAGAATGTGCCCAGATTCCTGGATCAAGAAGCTTCTTCATAAGATGTCTGAACCACCTCAGCTGATTCCTCTGGATCCAAAAACAGCATCACGTAAACAAGGTCCCTCCAGATCTCTCGATATCTCACTCTGTCAGGGAGTGTGAACTCAGTAACACTGCAGAAGAAACCTCACTCAGGCCACTTGACTTTGACTTTTGACCTTGTTCTTTCAGCCTATGTTCCAGCAATGTCATATTATTTTATACACAGTTCCAGTTTCTACCTGAAGTTTTGTCAGAAGGCATGGCTGATGCAGGTTTGAGTGTGACATTTCCTGTCTCTGTCATGTTAACATGGTGATTCCTACTATTTTATATGCAGTTAGCAATACAGCATGTTTGAGTGTGTGTGTGTGGGGGGGGGGTTGCATAGATCACATTTGAGGACCAAATTGTCCCCAAAGTGTAGTAAAACCTGAAATTTCCCTACTTTTGGGGACATCTTTTGAGGTCCCCATTTGGATAACCTCAGTTTTATAAAAATCTGTGAATGCAATCGAAAAAGTAAAAATGCCAAAAGTCTTGCAATTGTGTTGGTTACTTATGGTTAAAGTTAGGGATGGGTAGAGGTTAAGGGTGTCGTGATTGGGATCAGGGTTTTTCCCGTAGAAATCAATGGACGGTTCCCCATTTAGATAAGAAGACCAACTGTGTGTGTGTGTGTGCGTGCATGCACGCTGGTGGAAGTATCTTACATTCAGCCTGTTCTTTACACCCCCTAAGCCCAGCTGGACAATCCGTTAATGGCGATAGATGGACAGGTTTCGGCAGTTGAAATATTACTGGACAGCCAGTCAAGCAAGACTCTTCCCTACATCAAAGGGATGGGTTGTGAAACCCTTCAAAACCATTTGCCTTTTAAGAAGAATTATTATGAAAGCTACCTCACCAAAGAGCAGCTTTCCAAATGATTCAGTGAGTAATTGCCTCAGTTATTACTGTACATTAACTCAAAAACGGGAGGAAGCTTTGTTCCGTGTAATGATTTTACGGAGATTTACAGAAATAAGCAGAAGTCGACAGGACGTGCCAATCTGTCTTAATGACTGGAACATCTCCCAGCTGGGATTGTGCAGCCAGGATGGGAAAGGGAAGCTTTTCCTGTTCCTCCTGCCTACTGACGACAGGATGCTGGGGAACGGGAGGCAAGCGGAGCAGAAGATCCAATGGCAGGGCGGCTCAAGAACTCGGTGGGGGGTCAAAGGGCAAGGCTCTCTGTCAAGAGATGAGCGACACCACATGCTTACTGAACAGGGGGGCAACCAGGGACATTTCCCATGAGCTACAGGAAGCCACTCGACAAAAAAAAAATCTAATAAATTTAAAAGCATCAAAGTCAAATATATCTAAACTAGGCTGCTGTCCATTCATTTTCTATGCCCGTTTGCCCCATTCAGGGTCGCAGGAGTCTGTGGTCCATCCTGGAAGCTACTGGTGCACCACAGGGAATAATCCAGGATGGGACACTGACCCATAGCAGGGCACATAGTAATCACATAGTAAATACACTCTCAGAAAAAAGGCTAATGATTTGTACCTTTGCTTGTCACTGGGGGTGTACCCTTGTAATTGTACATTTTAAGGTACAGAAATGGAACATCCCAAAGGTACAAACAGCATTAATGTACCATCAATATACAGAAATGTTCCTCGGAGTCTAAAGTACAATTACTCACACCTAAGGGTACAATTTTCAGACCCTTGGGGGTACAGCCCCAGTAACAAGCAAAGGTACAATTTTTTACATTATTTTTGCAAGTGTAGAAAAAATTCTTGAGGTGAATCGAATGAACACTGGGAGCCTTACATTTAACCCAGACTCTCTTAAATCTGACAAGTTATCCGGCTATGAAAGAAATCTGGCTTTATAATTCAGGCCCCTGAGGTTTCAAGATGTGCCTATAGGATGTATGCGACCTTCATAGATCAAAAACAGCTGATTGTTACTGGGGCACAAGGGAATGATCCACTGAACCCAAAAAAAGGGTTTCCCAACCTTGGGAATAAAGCGGCACCGACCCCCACCCCCCAGCTGTTTCATTGGTCTGTGAAAATTTTGTACGACACAAATGAACAAACGTACATGAACAAAATGAACTAAAGTTTGGGAACCCCAACTCTAAAGGAACTGCTCTACCTGGATTAACATCCAGTGATATAGTGCATTCTCTACAGCGCCCTCCTCTCTGGCGTTCCCACTGTCCCTCTCCGCAGTCCTCACTTAAAGTGGCACTTTCTCTGCCGGAAAGCTTGGCTCCCTTACTGTAATCAAACATTAGGCCAATATGAAAAGCAGGAATGTTGCACAGTTTACATTGAATGCAGGCCATGAAATTTAAATTACACTCCTCTAATTCGTACACATATACAAATATAAAAGTAGAAGTAGATCAAATTTCAAAAATGTACCACAAATAATAATTAGATAGATAGATAGATAGATAGATAGATCGATAGATCGATAGATAGATAGTTCTCTGTAAATCGTGGCTTGAGATTAAGTGGTTAAAATACGATCATTCCACAAGTTTTCTGAAGTTTGCGTTGTATAAATGTAATCTGTCACCTGATCGATGAATGTTGTCATTTTCTACTCAAGTACAGAACTCACGTTAGACTCTAAATGTTTTATTCCCAATTTTAGGCTACATCTAGTTAACTTTTTACAAATATATGTAAAATCAGTAACAGTCAATCTTTTATGGTATTATTTATGCAATTTTAATTTGGTGATATTTGACTCTGACGGCTGTTTCACTGTTTGATTGCAGTTGTACGACGTTGTTACTGCGGGTCCGGGCTTTTATTCATTATACCGAAGCTACTTGTTTCATAAAATGATCTTTAATATTTTAGCCAATTGGGTTTTAAAGCAAAACACCAGAGCCTTAAAGTCGCCCAGCCCATTTTACACTTTGATTGATGCTTCCGTTGCTCTACAAAACAAAAAGGCGAAGAACAAAAGTAAGATTCAGTTGAGCCATCACAGACCCAGGGCGCGCACATATCTTACAAATACCAAAGCGTTCTTCAAACACCGTTATCTCCTAATAAAACGAGAAGCGCACAAACTTTAGCGCACACGGAGTCTTCCAGAAACTATGGATCATACTGGAAGTAATCTCTTCCAGAACCATACGGACGCTATAAATTTTGGCATTGATCACATTTTGAACCATGCGGAACAGGGGAGTTTCACGGTTTCCAACTCCAGACTTCAGGATCCCGACTATGGCTTGGGATGCATCGTCAGTACTGCTTACAGCACGATGACAGGTAACTACGGCATCAGTAATACTACGGGATACAGCAGCAGCTCTTGCGGGAGCACATCTTTAATTGGCTCTTACAATATGAATATGGATATGAACATACACGGGCATAACGCGAACCAAGCCGGAGTCGTCAGTGTTCCCGCTCACCTACCGCTAAATAGTTTTTATTCATCGGCGCCTCCCGGTGTTACGACGCTGTCAAGTCCCGAAAATGTAAATACCGTTAATAATCTGGCGGGATTAAGTTTTCCGTGGATGTCAAGCAATAGAAGACACACAAAAGAAAGACTTACATGTAAGTAATCATAAGCCACGCCAGTATAATTTTTAATTATTTGTTTTATGCTGATTAATTTATTTTACGTATTGTGGGGTAAGGTTTCTATTTTGAAGTGATATGTAAATTCCTCATTTATGCGACAATTTCTTTCAAATCCACGATTTTCATCCCGAATTTCTATAGTAAGGACTAAATGGTGCATTTTTGAAAGACTGTAATAATACTCATTGTAATTGGATACTCTCTGGATAACTCGGGGATAGCCTATAATTTATAAGGATAGGTGTACTATATGAATTGAGTACCTGAGGCGGGCCCTTCGTTTAGCTGGAAGAGTTGTTCTTCCATGGAACACACCGAAACTGAAGTTCACAGATATGTACCAAATACAGGTCTAAGAAAACAAAGCAAATACCCAGTAACCTATATATAGGCACTATTTAAGCTATACAATTATATTTCATCATGACAACTATACGATAATAAGAAAGAAGAATTGTACAAAATTCATACCATTTCTCTGACATTTTAATTTAACAGAATTCCAACAATGTTTTGGTAAACAGGGCGTCCCTAAACGTCTAAGGTTGTTGTGGTTATGCCATATTGCTGCTGTTGGCGTAATATTAAAATCCTTCCAAGAATATTAAATTTTATTTTTATTTCCTTGTAGTCAAGGTTGTGGAATGCAACATTGATTTTCCTTGTGGAAGGGACGACACATTTTAGAATAACAAACACAAAGGAAAATGTGTATATAAATAGGCCTATATATATAATACAGTACATAAATTATATATGTATATATGTATTATATATGTATGTATGTGCGCGCGCACGCATGCACACACACACACACACACACACATACATATACATTCAGTAGCTGGATAACATACTCAGCCTCGAGCAAAGGAGACTAAGGGGGAGACATGATCCTGGTATATAAGATTCTAACAGGTCTCAAGTGGCTATTTCAATATTAGTATACATACTAGAACTCGTGGCCATATGTGGAAATTGGCGGGAGAACATTTTAAAACGAATTTGAGGAAGCACTTCTTTACACAGCGTGTAGTTAGAGTATGAAATAGTCTTCCTGCTAGTGTAGCACAAGCTAAAACCCTGGGTTCCTTTAAATCAGAGCTAGATAAGATTTTAACAACTCTGAGCTATTAGTTAAGTTCTCCCCCAAACGAGCTTGATGGGCCGAATGGCCTCCTCTCGTTTGTAAATTTCTGATGTTCTGATATTCAACATCTTTAAAAATATTTTGATTATAACCAAACCTCTGGTAAATTGTTATGGAGTTTATTGACTTGAACTGGACCTTTGTTAAATTCATTTCTTATGTTAATTTTATTTTTAACGTGTAGGCAAGGTCACGTTCAGCAGTGCGCACTTACACTGCCCATTGGAAGAAGTGATAATTAGGTAGAGTGAAAATAAGGCCAATTAAGGCGCTAAAGTGCGTTTTCAGAACGTTTTTATTAACCACGCAATACGTGTGCTCCAGTACACCTTGCCAGATATGGCTGAAAGCTGATGCACTGGCGAGTAGCTTATAACACTGAGACCATCTGAAAAGTCTTGCTAGCTTTCTGCCTCGGAAGTCTTTGTTGCTGGCCTGCTGATACTGCCACCTCCGTTTGCGTCTGTATCCCAATCCAGCGGCGCTCTCACCTTCCACACGCCGTGCAGGTCACCCGTACCAGAACCGGAGCCCGACGAAGAAGAAAAAACCTAGAACTTCCTTCACCAGACATCAGATATGTGAACTGGAGAAAAGGTTTCACCGGCAAAAGTACCTGGCGTCTGCAGAGAGAGCAGGTTTGGCAAAAACACTTAAAATGACTGATGGGCAAGTCAAAACATGGTTCCAAAACAGAAGGACTAAGTGGAGGTAAGACTGGACATTCAGTTCGGTTATTCATAAAATAACTGTTTTGTGCCTCATTAATCACAGTGACAGGGCTTACAGAATTCCGAAAACATTTCCAATAATAATGCAATAAATCTTATTCTGTTTATGGGAAATTCCTAAAGAGGTAAAGTTACCTTCAAATATACGGTGACTCATGAAATAGAGTTTTTAAGCTGTTTCGCAATTTATCACCGATCGCAGTGATTTAAATCATAGAATATTCAAAGCTTAAACAGTGAAACCTGGCAAACGTATGTCGACAATTGAACGCAGGGCCGGGCACCCTGAAGGCGATATAGGCGGCCGCCTATGGCGCCAACTTCTGAGGGGGCGCCAATTAACCAGTCAATTTAACTTTGCCTCGGACAGGGGGCGTCACATTGGCTAGGACCGGTAGGCCTACTGGGTGAACATGTACATGCACTATACTTTATTAATGTAGTTCATTAATTATTAATAAGTCGTTGACTGTCAACCCGAAAATAAATACAGCGATCATCCTATCATAAATATTTAAATATATCGCAGCTCCATGCAGACAACTACATAGAAAACACAATATTTTAATAATAACACTAATTCTGACATTAATAATGAGGACAACGCACACGCACATTTACTTTGTAAAAATGAGTGGATGGATAATCGAATGACAAACGCATAACACTTGAGATTTTTTTTTATTTTGAGTTAATCCATTGATTCTAGAAGGTGTGACAGAGTTCTACATCTGAGATAAACAAGTCCAGCTTTTTTTCTTAATTTAATTGCCTCATAATAGTAACAGTCTCACTCAAAATGAGTGAGAATTTCTGTTTTGGTTTTTTAAACCCCATTCATAGCAGCAACTTCTGAGTTTATTCTATTCATTTCTTACTCGTTTAATTAACTCAGTATTCTATGTAATATTCAAGGATTTAACTGCCCCTTTTATGCTTTGACAAAAACAAGTTTAATGGGATATTTTCTAGAGCTTTTAGCTCCGCTACCAATCAAGAGTATTATTATAATCACATGTATGCAAGGTATACAGAGAAATGCAAATCTATACATAGATTATACTGTGCAATGGAAAATTACAAAATATAAATTAAAAAGAAATGTCATACAAATACATATAAACTCTAAGCACAAAAATGTGGTATATGGAGAGATATCCAATATAAATATATTTACATATATAAGGCAACAGGTAAGGTATATGACATAAACAGGGTGCATTCATGGAATATACTGTGTCCTATGCAGGTTTATATGGTATGTATACAAACACACAATAAGCCAGTAGTCTGCCGCATCATAACCTCACAACGCTGGTGCAAAGTTGTATTGAAAATATGGTAAGTAGCCATAAATTCTCAGAAATCCACTAAAAAGTCTGAGGGGACAAACTTTTTCGAAACGTTAAGTGCAACGTAGTAGGGTAATTTTATGGCCATATTTGGTCTTGTCCTTATAAATTAATGTATTGGGATGCTACACACTGACCCTAACCTCAGAAACTCTTTATTCCTGCCTGTAGCTTTTTACATTTTTATGCATGTGAGATAAAGGTAAAAATAAACATGCATGAATATATAAATAAAAATATGCATGAATGAATAAATATATAAATAAAATAAATACATAAATAAAAATAGACATAAATACAAACAGCTGCATAAAATATCCCTGTGACGCATGACAGGCACTGGAAGATGGATGGAAGTAAATATAGTATGTATTTTACATGAAATATGCTGGGTTTCCAGCTCAAGCGGGATAATGTATGCTTTTTATATTGTATGTATGGTTTTATATTTTATAGATTTTTTTTTTCATTTACACTGCATTTTAATATTTTGAGGCACTGCACCTAAGTAACTGTATATAACAGTAACAGAGGACTGCCTCTGTGATAAAATCACGTAAAGGTCCAGTAATACTACAGCAATTGGGCATTTTAAAAAATGGTTTTGTTTCATTACGTTATATACAGCATATTCACACATCGATAATTTTATAAATGCATTTACATTCAGTACATAGCCTCTACCTTGTCTTTCTTGCTGCACACATAAGATCCTGCATATTATCATGCTAACAAGTCGGATATTGTGATGTGATTTTTTTAGAATAAAAATGTATATGGAATGGTGAACGAGATGCAGATTGGCCACAGGGGGGCGCAGTAGTGGTGGCCAGCGAAGATTACAGTGTGTGAAAGAAGTTGATTTAGTAACACATCAGACATTAGATAACTTTGCTTTTTAGATTATCCTTCTCGCGGTGAAACCCAAACACCTGTAATATATACAGTATAATATTTTCTGCAAAAACTGACAAAATATACATCATTACCCCAGTCTATAATAATTTTCTTTTACCAGCAAGAGAATAGGTTCTTTATCGGTTATTTTGTATTGAATGTTAGAATTAATAATATTAATAATAAAGTGACTGATGTATTTGTTTTGTTGGTGGATAATTTTGTCTTTGAACTGGTACTGAAGTGTATTAACAATACAGTATAAAGTTTAAAGGTATCTATGCTGTCTGTAATTCTGATTGTAGAATGTGATTAAATAAAATTCCTAAAGGCTCGCTTATTATTTACAGTTGGGGTGTATGCAATGAGAAGCTGCTGTCATCCTAATGGCATTTTCCTCAGTAGCAGTCACAGCTTGCCGATGTGACATTCTCTGTGTTTGATGTCATTCGTTGTTAGACGGCAAACGGCAGAGGAGAGAGAAGCAGAGCGGCAGCAGGCCAACCGAATCCTCCTGCAACTCCAACAGGAAGCCTTCCAGAAATCACTGGAACAGCCAGAAGACCCCGACCCTATTTGCCTGCAGAACAGCTCCTTGTTTGCTCTTCAGAACCTTCAGCCGTGGACAGAGAGACCCGGCAAAATAAGCAGCATGTCCTCTTGTGATTAGAGGAGCCGACACGCGGAAATTGTGTCACCCTGAAAATAAATAGCTACACAACAGCTGTATTATGTTTACAAAAATTCATTTAAAAAAATGGCCTCGATCTAGCAATGGTGTATAATGGTGAAAGCAAGCAAATGGAAAATAAAAAAACTAAAGAGAAAGTTACAGCTATAGGAAAAAAAATGAACAACCATTCTCAGCACATTCTGTATGTAATTCATTAAGAAGATAAAGTGATCGATTTGTTTAAAAAGAAGTTAGTGATATTCAGAATGAGACATTAGAAGTACCTATTTTTTCTGAATTAGTTTTAGATTTTATTTCTATATAAAATGTCCATATCATTAACTTCACACACTATGCTTTCACAAAAGAAAAAAAAATGTGGTACCAGCTCATTGTGAGAACATGTTTCAAGAAATTCTTCAGATTTTGAGATATAATTGATTCATTAATGTTTTGTTTTACAATGTAACATGCATCTGTTTATATCTGTTTTTTGTTAAAATACATAAAATGTTGTACTTATCATATAAGTGCATATAAGTATAAAATGAAAATCAATCTGGGAATCATTGCACAGCACTTAAAAACATTAAAACTTTATAATTACAAATGCATTGCCTTGACAAATGTCTTTAGGCTACTGTATGGAGTGAATGTGGTTCATAGCATATCTTTCAGAGACTGTAAGTCTGTCCCTTTCAGAAGGTGGCCTATGCTTTTCTTCCTTCCATTTTGGGCCCTGTGGGAATGGCAGGGCTTTCCAAACACTGAGCAGATGCAGACGTGCAGCAGTGTGTGTGAGACAGCCCAGGGTCTCCGTCTCCATTAGTGCAGGAATGCAAGGTTTCATTTCATCATCCATTTGTAAAGGTTTCTGGTGCATCAACCAGGGACTTCTCAAACCCCGTCCACTACTAAAACAAAAACAAATGGGGACCAGACATTTGTCATTCAAAAAAAACAAAGCAGAGGGTGTAGGTGCATTCTCAACATCCACTACTTAGTTCTCACTTTTCTTAAAATGCAATGAAAAGACCAGTGAAGGCCCTCAAGTTTGTACAAACCATTCTCTGAGTATGTTTTAGGAGATGTCATCTCTACAGTAAGATTAAAACCAATGGGCAACCATTTTGCCATTATTTTGTTTCTGAATGTATTTAAAATGATGATTCTCTAGTGTTACACTCAAAGGAAGCCGTTTATCCTGAGTAGAAGCAATATATTTTAACATATTGAACAAGTTTAATGCTTCAAATTGTTCATGCTAAGAAATTATTTTATTAGAAACAATTGTTTTTTGTTTTCATTGTTTTAGTATTTTGGTGCCATCTAGCTCTTTACAATTTCACATGTAAGCTTCCTGTGGTTTACATTTTAAACGTTTCTGAAACCACAAAATTGAGAAACCATTCTTACCCCACATTCCTTCATTCCACAAGTGCGCCAGAAGCATATATACACCATTTTATACACCATTTTATTTTTTTTTTTGCTTGCATCCCACATTTTCATCTGTGCTTAGGTATTTTACGAGTCGCCGAAAAACTACATAATTCTTGAAAATAATAAATGCACAATTAGTTTCATATGATTCAAAATTCATTTTTATCCTCACCATTTTTATACTCAGTAAAACAAGGGATGATATAACTGGATCGTAAAATAAAAATGAAATTGGTGAATTGTGCCAAGCAGAGGTTCATTCTGAGGTGGACAGTGCGCTGCTTGATACTGGCGGCTTTAAAACTGCAAGGAATACCCATCGCCCAGGATCGCCCATCTGCAGATAACTGCAATTTATTCGTCTCGGATTTACTAAATAATCTATGGACATTGGAATACCAGCCGACGTTGATTACACAGACCCCGAACGCATATACACTACACGAATGAAAAGTGACACCCCTATATGTGTCACGCACTTCCGCTTCCGCTATGACGTCACGACCCGAAACATTGGCGGCTTTTTCGTATTTTGGGTGTGATTGGCTGCTCCGGCTAGCTAAAGCTTTGATTGTCGTCCTTTGAAACTATTGCCGACTAGATATATGGTGAGTGCTTGTTTTTTAATTGTTCCCAGTCATTAATTATTTAACCTGGTTTTGATCTATCGGGAGAATTCGCTGTAATATCACTTTTAACGGAGGAACTGCAACGCTAGCTAGCTCGTTAGCATCGTATTGTATTCGAGTCTCCACGTAACGATTATGTATTCCTCTTTTGCGCAGGATCCGGATGAATTGCTTAAAAATGTAAGTTTTCAGCCTTTTGTTTGGCTCACTCTTTCTATGACACCGTTACACCGGCTGCACTATATAAATTTTCTAACGGTCCTTCTGTCAGGCAAAGGCTCTTTCCAAGCAAATGTCAGAGTACCAGGGCATCCTGCCGCCAGACCCCCCGGTCAGCAAGCAGTGCTCGGAGGCTGCGTGGGAAGAGCTGCTGGTTGAATGTGACGAGCAGTTTAACTACATGCAGCAGGTGTGGATTTGCGGTTGTATTAATCTACATGCGACGTCATGTGTGTTAGGGTGGATAAGATTGACACCTTTGTCCATCTTGTCATACGTCCCCCAGCTTCAGAATGACATCGCTGTGACAGATGCGGACTCTTCTGAGAACCAGTTAAATGAGGTATGTTGTATGCTGTTGTTTTATGGCTTGCATGCTTTTAAAAAGTACCGTGGTATTGTACAAGAAAAACTTTCGCAGTGTGCAACCGGCAAATCCTAAACAACTACATTAAGATTCAGAACATAGTTGCATCTGTCTGAAAACAATCCTTAATTCTGTGTTGCCTCTTAGACAGAGAACCGGATAAATACTTTGACAGCAGAGCTGAAGCAGTGGGAAGAGAGTGAGCCAAGATGTACGTGACAATTAAACGCCAGAAACGCTGTTTGTGACTTATGTTGAGCAAATGATTTGAAGGGGAAAGTGTCTCTTAAACAGGCCTGTCATTTTCGGTCCCCAGTGCTGTCCGTAAATCCTGAAGTGTTACTCTCCGTGGGAAGAGAGGAGGTAAGTGTGTCAGAGCAGCGACTCTTTTCTACATGTATGTCTTGCCGAATTTGAGGTTTTTAAGAATTTACATTTATATAGCAATCGCTTAAAGCTTTAGATTTCTGAAGATTTCTGGCCATTTCTGATGTCAGTATCATAGTTGCTACATGGGAAAGAAAGAGAAATTATAAATCTCTTGATTAAGTTTGTTGGATAAATTTGTTAATATTCTCATGTTTATCATCCTAAATCTGTATAAATGTAAAGTAATTAAATTTACTTGCAAACAAATGTTAGTTTATTTGAATCTTAACATCAGTAAATTAAGGGGAGACCTTGAACATAACATTATTAAATGCTGATGGTGTTGGAAACTTTTTAAACTATTTCCTTTAAAACTTCGACACTGATTTTTTTTTTTTCCTCTCTGCTCACTTGTTTTATAGTTGTCTCAGCTGAATGCACAACTTGAGATGGTTCTGTCTTGTTGTCAAGCAAAGAGGGATAAACTCAGAGAGATTTTAAAAAGGTCTGGTCTCATCTTTGTATTTTCACATTTTAATGTGGCAAAGCTGGACAGTGAAATAACTATAAGACTAGGCAGAAGTCCAGTGAGCATGTTGTTTTACAGTGAGCGTGTTGTTTTACAGTGAGCATGTTCTTTTACAGTGAGCGGAAATGGTTAGAAGAAAAGGAGGAGGTGTTGAGGGCAGCCACCGAACAAGTAAAGGCATTGCAAGAAGAAAATGAGAGACTATCAGAAACAAGGTATGTGTACATCGGATGGCTTGATGTAAACACAAAACCACACATCTGGGGCCGGTAATACAAAGCAAGATTTGCTGGTTAACTAGATTTAAGGTTCCCCAATTTAAATTAACTTTTCTTCGTTCACTTACATTTAAATCCGACAAGTTATCTGGCTAACCCACAAATCTTGCATCGTATTATGGGCCCCAGGAGTGGGTGCTAATTTCCTGTGTGTTTTTCCGTGTGTGAGTAGGGCGTTCGGCTAACTGCTAAGACGGCACGTAGTATGTTTGTTTAGTATGTCATCTTTTGATTGACTGACACAGCAATACACTTCTAGTGTTTTACTGGACATGAAGAAAAAACTTAAGAAAATGAAAGATTTCCAGGATAACTTGCTGAGCACGCTTAGTGACATACTGCAGGAACATTTCCCGCTTCCTCAGGAGGGCGAGAACGGCAACAAAAGGAAGAAGGTGAGATCCTCCTCTCCATGCCGCTTCTCCAATGTTTTCTTACCGTTCTGTTTGATGAAAAGGGACTGCAGTTAATGAAATCAATTTGATGCAGAAATTTCGTCCGGAGCCAAGAGGAGACCTCATTTCTCTCCACGATATCCTGGAGGTACGTCCACGCTGGTGCACGTACACGCAGTATTATCCGGTTTGGAATTGTCTGTTTTGTCGTCACGGTCCGTGTGCTCACTGGGTTTCTGCTTCTTGCGACCCTGACAGCTCCTCATGAACAAGACGGTGGAAACCCCTCATGAACCTTACGTGGTGATGAACGAGAGCTTCTGGCCACCGTACATTGAGATGCTGCTCCGATATGGAATCGCATCCAGACATCCAGATGATTCCGTCAAAATTCGCTTGGAGTCTTTTTATTAGTGACAGTGACACATTCATGCTCTAGATATATTGTTGCTCATGTAAAATATAATATCTCAATATGATGTGTAGTCTGTGCTGTGCTTTATAATTGGGCTCGGGCATTTACACACAATTATTGCACCTTGAGATCAATATTCTGTTTTTTAAACTGTATATAAGCTTCCTGTATATGTACTGTGATAAACTTATTTATTTAGTTTTAATGTCACCCATTGTCAATGCTGATCTTAGCTTAGAATAAATAAAGAGTGTCTAGAGGAAAACAGTGGAACAGTTCAACAGGATTTTGCAGTGTAATTCCTTTAGCTGTACTGCAGAATGTAAGTGCTTTATAAGTAATACATTTCCTGTATGAGATGTACATAATGTCAGTGCTATGTTTATCTACTAAAGACATTACTGATTTGAACACGCGATTGATGTGTTTGCATAATTAAAACTAAAGGGACATTCGGCTTGTCCTTGGTTGTGCAAACATGCACAATGACCCATTGGAACAGAAGATCATCCACATTCCATAGCAGGTAACATCACTCACTTCAATAATAAAGAGCAAACCAAAATATTGTCTGTGGTTTAAATAAAACAGGTTCCACCAAAATGTTCTGTAACATTGTTCTAACCATTTTCACTTGATGTTGTGCACCTGAATCTAATTCTAAGCATTTTAAATATGATTGTGAGGGTGTCCTAATTTCTTCCTCAGTGGAAATTGACTTCTTGATTTCGTTGATTAAATAAGTGTGTGTATTGTTTTTGCACAGGTTGTGCAATCACGTCACCTTTACAGATATAATTTGAAAGAAGATTTTATATTGATATGTTGATATTAATGAAGAAATAAAGGGTGAGTCCTAATTTTTTCACATGACTAAATGTAAATCATTTACATTATGTGGGCTACAGTTGTGTGCACTGGGAACAGGCGAAACAAACGGAAGCACATTTTCTTGACAGAGTCAGTGCAGCTGTACTGGTTGAGTCACTAAAGTTGGTGAAAAGTGAAGTTAATGACAAACAAAATAATCAAGCTTGTGGAAGCAAGACAGTCAACAAGAAATCAGTGAGTTACATATTTGTGAAATCTATAAAAGATGACTGCATAACATTCAAAATCTCAATTTTGAATGTTACACATTATGAAAACTGCTAAGCTATTTATGCACAAAATGCTATTTTGTGCATAAATAGCTTAGCAGTTTTCATAATGGTGTTTTGCTACTGGGGAGCGAATGATTTCCAAGATGTATCAGCAGAATGTCAGGATGTCTGACCTAAAACTCAGAAGAAGCTGGGGCACACCTAACTACAGTACAGACCTGATCAGCAGCTAGAGAGACCATCTGGGTGCGGTTGCTGCCAATGAAGGACGTTTCACTAGTCACCAAATACAAGCGTTCACATACTATCTATGAGTCTATAACCGTAATAATAAGGATTCTGCAATGTGTAATGCTGTAACACTGTTTAATTGTTACTATGATTTAAAAGTAGTTCATATAACACTTCTTGAGTCGTTCATTCATAGACCCGGTTCATTCCATTTTTTTTAACTGTAGATGTGCTTGCACACCAGATGCTTTTTACAGAGATTATATTTAATTATATATCTTTTTATAAATCAAGAGCCAGTATTTACCTGGCATAGATTTAAAACATTTAGTAAAGGAAGACAGGTCTTTATTCAGCTCAGTGATTTATCTGAATGTTTGCCCTGACCTCATGCTCAGATATTAAATTATAACATTACAATTACTGGAATATGAGCTTCCCATTCAGTGAATGTATGTTTAGACGTTTTTTATTGTTGGTGACTCGTGAAATTTCAGCTTCTCTCACGTTTGCCAGGGTTGCCAACTTTGGTTAGCTGAGATTTTCAATTTGAGACAAGTCTGCACACACATTTACACGTTTTATTACCTTGTAAATAGTCTGCAGGGTTTGCAAATTGCCCAACGCTTTCGATGTAGCTAATTTTACTTTTTTAATAGAATAAAATTTGCTGTAAGATTTCATGCGTGTCACGCCAGATTCGCGAGAGTCGGTAACCCTGTATTTGCCGTTATATACCATGAGTGCGTGCGGATAGTTTTTAATCCCCCGTACTGGAAACGTCAGTAGCCGGCACTGCAGACGCGTCGCTTTTCCTCAGTCGTGCTGCCATTCAGCCGCAGTAAGCGGGCAGCCTGCCGGCCCCCGTCACACAGACGTCAGGCACGTAACTGAAACCGCACTGTTCCCATCGGCAGACAAGGCGCCGGCTCCAGTCAGGTGTCATCATTATTACTGACTGCCCCTGGATCAGCCGGCCATCTCTCCGGCACCAGCTGCGTAGCGGTTCCGGTTCCGGGTCCAGGTCCAGGTCCGGGCGCTTGCCAACCCCTTGCCATATTTGGCGCCGCCTTGCCCTCGGTGCCTGAGCTCCGGGGGATGGTCCTGCTCATCAGCCGGCCCGGTTTACTGACTGCTGCTTCAGGGAAGTAGGTGTCGGCGTTTTGTCGGAGAGAAGCGACGCAGGGGGGACGGAGGGATAGAGAGATGGCGACCCGATCGGAAAGGGAAAAGGCCCAGAAGCTGAATGAGCAGCACCAGGCGATCTTGTCCAAAATGCTGCGGGAGGAGGACAACAAGTACTGCGCTGACTGCGAAGCTAAAGGTACTGGGAGGTGTTTTCAGACATCGGTACCGATACCGTGTTTTAGCCCCTTCTGTTAATTTTATGCGGGTTTGGATAGACTGAATGATTTCTGCATGCCTTCTTTAATATTTAACAGGTCATTCATTCATTCATTCATTCATCCATCCCTTCATCCACTAATCATTAATAATCCAGTCACAATTCTTTTCGTCGCATTTGAATGTTTTAATCGGAATTATTACGGCATTGGTAATTTTAGGGAATGGGTGTGGGTAACGGATGCAGGATGGTGATAGTCACTTTAAACCCGGTGCATTTCCACAAACATGCCCCAGTCCTGTCTCCACAAGGACGCATTCAACGCATTCCTGCAAAAACCTTCATTCATCCCGTTATTTTATTCATCTGTGCCATTACATATGTATTACAAATGCATATTTCAGTATCGGTTTCCCCTAAAGCTATAGGGAATGGTAGTCAGAATTTAACTTGAAGCTATTTCAAGGGTATGAGCTCTTGGAGTAATATGTCTCCCTACTTCCAGAAATATGCGTTTTCTCATACTGATACAAATCTGGATGTTTTGCCAATCAAAGCCCCGTAAGACGGTCATCAATGTCCGGCCAATGGCAGGTGCCGTTCTTCATCTCTAATCCTCTCCGTCACCTCAGTTTTGGTCTCCGGATTCAGCGGTAGCGTGGAGCTTCCGGGACGCCGGGCTGTCTGGGGGCTGCGTTTCGGGGTCCGGGTGCAGGAAGAGCGCTACGTTAACCCGGACGCTCATGAATAGTTAATACGGGCTACGTTTCGTGTACTGTGGCATTTGAGATTCAGGAATCCTAGTTCATGTAAATAGGACGGGCTCGCCACAGCGGATGTTCATCTTGTCTGCGTTCTCGCACAAGACATCATTATTATTCAAATACTGCAAGACTGCAATAATTCAGAGTTGTCGAATTAGAATTTGGTGATCAGTGGTTATTGTTGACGCACCACAACACACCGTGCACAACAACGAAATGTTTCCTCTGCATTTAACCCATATGCGACATCGTGACATAGCAGGGGGCAGCTAAAATTCAGCACCCAGAGAGTAGTGCTTGGGGGGAGGGGGGGTACCTTGCTGAATCGGGGATTCGAACCTGCGATCTTTCAGTTGTGCGTTTCCCTAACCATTAAGCCACCACTGCCAACTGTCCTTGTACAGTAAGCTGTAGACCTATCAGGAAGGGCCTCACTACAACTTTCTAGCTGTACTGCTGAGTTGTTTTTTTTACAATCCTAGGGGTGGCTGTTGGTTTGTTTCCACACCATTGAAGGGACGTTTAGTCTCCCACTGTTTCTCGCAGAAGGTCCGTAATCTGCCGAAAAACAGGATTGCAGTTTGACCCAGACGGCAGAGGCCTGGCTGTTATGAGTCCGTGCGGACGGCCCAGTTTCAGTGTCTTTGTGAGGCCCACCTCGAACCCATACGGACTCCATACGCGCTAATCTTGCAAATTCTTGGGTAGCACTGTGAGCAGCTTGGCTCAATGGTGCCACACCTGCATGCCTGGTACTGAAACCTGTCGGGGCTCTGGTTCTCTCGTCCCGGCCAATCCTCGAGGGGCAGTCACGCGCCTCTTTCCGTAAAGCCGACGTGAAAAGCCTGTGTGCTGAGAAAGCAGCTTACCTGACTGCATATCTAAACTTGAACCCCTTTCTTAGTGAATAATGCAGCCTCCTGCACTACTTTCTCTGACCATAACCAGGCCTTTTCTGACCACAGCTCCTTATCTCCTAGGGTACCTGTCGCTTCTTGAGGATTGAGGGAAGGATTTGTACTGGGGAACACTAAAGCTGACTGTAAGGACTGCCAGAGCCCGGAACTGGTAGCAGGATGGTGTGTGGGGTGATGGCAGGTGTTCCGAGTAGAACGGTCGGAGCTTTTGTGGTCTTAACCGGTGCAAATATGACGCATCGCAGTGAGGCCAACCGTGTGCACAGAGTCTGCCCATTTCCTGCTGTCCCACTTATCTGTCAGTCTCACCATCAGGCCAAATGCCTCAGCGCCCCCTATTGGAGCAGCTGGTGGTCTCTCCCGGCGAGTTCTCTCTCCACCCTGCCGCTCAAGGTCTTCTGGCTTGAGTCAGCGCCAAAACGGCGATCGGCGAGCCGGACGGGCCACTCCAGCAAGGAGAGGACAGCCGAACGTGGGAGCTTGCCAACGGGCGGTGCCAGGCGTCGTGAGCTGTGCGCCACGCCAACAGGGTATTGGCTCTAGTTCCCCCCCCGGACCACTTTGGGCAGCAAAGGCTGTTGCAGTATAGTAAATTTCACATTTTTACTAATATTGATGGAGTATCTCTTATAGGTTGCTTGTGTATATAAGAAGGACCTCCTACATTATGATTATTAATAGATGCCATGATGGTTCCTGGAGGTTCCTCAGGAGGTTCCTGTCATCTCTGCAGGATAGCAGGGTTGGATTGAGCCCCAGCTTCATATCTTCTACTTGAGTTTGTGTGGCTTTCTTCAGGGCTCTCCTCATTTCTCACCACGGCACAGAGACATCCTGTTTCCTTCAGGAGGTCGCTTTGAATCACTTACCGAGTTACCATATCAGTACCCCACTGTGGATGGCCCAGTCGGCATATTAGAAATGGATTGAAGATAGGGTTACACAGATCACCAAATACTGAATAGGTTTCCTCCCATCGCCTGTTGAAAGGGATGATGCTCACTGAATCCATCTGTCGTCCATGTAGCCTGTCGGTGTGTCAGTCATCCCATAATAGTGCCTGAAATCCCACCCTGGAAGGCACATTTGCATTCGCACCATCCATCTTACTCTACTTTATGCAGATGATGATGTACCTGTTTATAGTGGCGGAACAACTGTACACTCGGCTCTGGAGCAAAAATGGACCCCCTCCTTTCCAAATTTAAGTAGCATCCAAACATCGTACCCATCATGCACTGCAGTATTTAGCAAATTTCACAAACAACCTTTATTCATTAAATACACGCCTCATCAACAGAGTTTGACTACAAAACATTACATTTCAAAATAGTTTTAAGTTTTGTACCAATTTTTTTGTGCTATGACTCCAACCACAATGAGATTGTATAGATAAAATGAGAGAGGTAAAAGTAGCATGTCACTAGTATATATAATGTGCATGACATCAGCGCCTGAATCCTCACAAATGTTTCCTATATATATGATATTTGCAGTTGGGGGGGGGGGGGGGGCTCTACGTGGCTGGTGTGGCCCTGCCTGTCCTGCCTACCAGCCTGATTATGTTCATTGTTGGTACCCCTTCATTCAACAATACTACCTCATTCAATCAATAATACATTATTGAGGTCATGTTCATTAAATTTCTGCTCTAGAGAATAGTACTTTAACAGGATGCTGTTTTGGAATCACTAATGCATCAACATTGTTTTTTTTTCTTCCTCCTCTCCTTTTATTTCCACTGCAAGCTGATTCTCACTGAAGGTTTAGCGCAGCCATGATGATGCAGTACCACTATCTCCTCCCCCCTTTAATGGCCTCTCGCTCTTCTGCCGTCTTCCCCGCTGTCCCATTTTTCACGTGGTTATGAAGCGCTTACGTCACGCGCTTTCTTATCAGGTCCCCCCCCCCCCCACGTAAGACGGCGCACTTTTTGAGGAACTGCGCTGGGGGACGCACGCAAGGCAGCGTCATTCTGTTTTTCCCCCTCATCGTGTTTTTTCTCCTTTTTTCAATGTCAGGACCGGCAGAGGGGAGTTATACATACGGGTGCAGGAGCGTCGTGCGACTGTGCTCGCTGCTACCATGATTGAAGCGGGGTGAAATTAAAGCGAATTGGCCACGGGAAACGTTTGTTTATGTCAAGTAGACCGCTATTAATAATACGATCAATATCCTGAAATGCGATTTACTTAGTCCGGTTACAATGTGCCCGCCAGACGGGCCAAATTACGCCCAATTACCTGTTAATCCTGTCAGAATAATCAATCCCCTATATCCCCGTGTCATTATAGTCAGGCCTCTATCCTTGTCCCCTGGCTTTTCCCGCAGCTCCCTATGGATAAATGTATCCGTGTTACGTAAATGTTGTTAATAATGTAACAGTGTGTCTACTGTGTTTCCGTCAGTTGAGGCTGACACGCGTTAATGTAACTAAGTAACGGTGTTTAGATACACCTGTAAAGCGGAGTGATATAACGCATCTTGACCAATCAGATTTCTTGGTCGGAACTAACTCTTAAATAATGTGTATTATTTATAACCAGAGATGGACGTAACTGGTACGCAAGTACGCACCTTTATGAACGATATGTGCGATAATCGATTGTGGTATCACTGTAAATGCGTACTTATTTTATGCGCATTTGCGCTGATATGAAAACAAAATATGCATTTTAATCTTTATATGCTAGCTCTACTTTATATCAGCGCAAATGCACATAAAATAAGTTCGCATTTGCGCTTTTACAAACAATCGATTGTCGCACGTATCGTTTTTAAAAGTGAATGCGTACTTGCATACTAGTTATGTCCATGATCCATCCCTGGTTATAACTGGATTGATGCAGATTGCTTGATGATGACAAACCTAGTTGTGGCTGGAGGGCTGTATGAAAGGTTAGTTAGGGCCGGCACGTATGTAGTGTATGTCTACGCTGTTTTAGTTTGTGTGTAACAGTTCAGTATTTTTGGCATTATAGATTAGAGCACATACTAAGTGTCACATAAATAAGCACGGGGTGGGATTGGTGGATAAAAACGCGCCCGGACAGGACTCCTGGTGGGATTTATATCTCTCTGGGGCGTTTCTGCCCTAGCAGGGCTGGCTGTCCTTGATAAAACGAGTGTGAACGTAGAAATATGCGAGCTAGAATGCTTTGTCTGTTGACGGTCTAGCTCAGCAGGACAGGGTGGTATTATATCATCTCAAGTTACCGCCTCGGCTCCGCAGGTCAGCGCGGGAGTCAGCCTCTCTCCATCACGAGTAAATTACCTTAGGGGAGGGCTTAGCACTGAG